CATCCATGTTACATCCTTTACAAGACTGGTTGGTTGGAATTTTGTGATTATGGAGAGTTGAACTGTGGCATATCCAGAATCAAATTATCTTGAACTACTTTTAACCCCCTAATAGACATCCATTGTCCACTTGTATCTGACCTAACATTCTTGTGACTGTCACAGGAAACCTTTTGGGATGTATTAACTTAGTAGAGCAACAACTTTCACCAACCAAAGAGCTAAGCATGTATCAGACAACATCTGAAATCTGTGGCAGAGATTTCCTTGATTATTATAACTCACATTCCTCATGTTTTATCTTATATTTGAAAAGTGCCTTGATTAGACTTTCTTTTGCTCTGTAGCTATAAAAATGTCACAGAACCAAAACATGCTGAAACATGGTGTTTGGGATAACCTGAATCCATGTTCTCATATTCGACTCCAGAATAAACTATCTTTTATTCTTTTTGAAGTGAGAGCTGTGTTTTTGTGTCAAAAACAAAACAAAACCCTTAGAATTAACAAATGACTTTGGCAAAAAGGCAAGATGCTAGGTCAACAGAAAAAAAAATGAACAGTGCTACTATATACTAATGAACAATCTGAAAAAGAAATTAAGAAAACAATTTCACCTACAAGAAGACAATATTTAGGAATTAATTTAATCAGATTTCTACAATGAAAGGTACAAACATTGCTGATAGGAGTTAAAGGCAAATAAAAATGCAGTCATACTCATGAATTTGAAAACTTAATATTTTACATAAACTTCAATACTACATGAAAACAATCTACATGATACTGCTTACATGAAGTACTTAGAGTAGCCCAAATCATAGAATGTAGAATGGGATTACCAGGAACTAGGGAAAGGCACAGGGATCAGGAGGGTGGTGGCATAGACAGTTAACTTTGGGAGGTAAGGGATTATGGAGAAGTGGGAGTGATCACATGCCACTAGGAATATATTTAATACCATTGGTTTGTATATTTTGAACTGGATAAGAGATGAATTTTATTTTATGTACATTGTTTTGCTGTAACTGGAAATTAGAAAAACAATTTCCCTATTGCACGAAAACAAAGGAAAGAGGAAAAACACCTAAAAGTGAGTAACATAAAAAGATGGTGGAGATGGTGGAGTATATGTAGCATCCATGCCTCCCACTTCCTGTTTCTCCACCCCCATGACAGCTATAAATAGCTAAGCCATATGGTCAGATAAAGACTAAGTTAAGTTTTCTTGCTAAATGTGGCTCCTTCATTCAAATCTTTAAACAATCCTATGCACTTTATTCTTGAAGTATGTGTAAATGCCTAATTCTAGACGTACGCTTCTTAAATTTGTTGCCCAAACTTGAACTTAATTTATTTGTTTTATGTCTATGAATTTGGGTAATGGTTTACAAATAAATAAGGATTTATAGTATCTTTCAAACCTGGGGAGAAGCAGAGGTAATTTTATATTGGGTCTTAGCACAAACAGTGCCATAACACACCCTGAAGCCAGAACCTTTTGCTCCCAATAAGCTTTTACGGTTTATTGGTAAAAGCTGTAGTGCAGTGGAGTGTGTAGGTAGAGGGTGGTGCCTGCTGATGCAGGGCAATGAAGTGAACTCGGGAAAGGAAGACAGAGGCCAATCTGTATGGCTGAGAATCAAAGACCATCTGACAAGATTAGGAATCATGTTTAAACACGGGAAGGGAAGACAGAGGCCAATCTGTACGGCTGAGAATCAAAGAACATCTGACAAGATTAGGAATCATGTTTACAATCAAAACATGTTTTGTCTTTCTTGTGACCCATTGATAGTAAGGGATACTTTGACTTTTTTTTTAACCTATGTTTTTATCTGATCACACTCAAACCTATACAAAACACCATGAGCCAATTTATCTTAAGTATTAAAGGAATGTTACCTAGATAAAGATAAGCATGCCCAAAATAGTTTTTATTTACTTTTATAAACCCCTTAAATAGGCCGGGCGGTGGTGGCACACGCCTTTAATCCCAGCACTCGGGAGGCAGAGGCAGGTGGATCTCTGTGAGTTCCAGGCTGGGCTGGACCGATAGCCTCCAAAACAATACAGAGAAACCCTGTCTCGTAAAAACCAAAAAAAAAAAAAAAAAAAAAACCAAAAACAAAAAAACAAAACCCTTAAATAATATAACTTTAAAGACCATCAAAATGTTACGTACTGTTATTGTTAAGACACTTGAATACAATTCTATCTTAAAAAGCCCAAGACCATACTTGGGTGTGTACCCTTTTTCTTAAGTCCTTCTGTCTCTTTCAATGCACTACTAATCTATATTAAATTTTTTCTTAATAAACCTTGCTTCATCCCGAGGTGGTTTTTGTTGTTGTTTGGGTTTTTTTTTTATAGTTAAAAATATTTAGGCTCCATTTGAGGAGAGGTCTCTAAAAAGCACTTGTTGGGCTGATATAAGTAGCAGCATGGGGTAGAGCTCATTCTACTACCCATTACCACTCACAAATGTCAATAATACTTTTATAAGACTTCAAAATACATTTCCAAAACACACTTCTCCCACCCCATTTGACCACATGGGTTAACACGAATTTCCCACTGACCTGCATTTTATCTACAAGCATCCCTATCCCTAACTGCTTTCCTTTTCCAAAAGCTATCTATGATATGCTCATTTTAACTCAATTCCAGCCATATAAAAGAGCAATAGATAAGAAATAAACAATCTCCAGTTGTGATATCTAGACCCTAAAAACACAAACATTCCTTTCAGACACACCTTTCTTCAGGAAATATTAAACAATACTCTTAAGGATAATTAATATCAAACAGATTTTAAACTGTTTTTCAGGAAGGGTTGATGCTAGCACAGGTTTACATATTACTTCACAATCAAACTTTTTTGGGCTAAGTTATTCTTACTTATTAACTACTTTACCTGCTAAAAGTTATCAGCCACTGTGTCTGTGCCAGGTGCCTCTAAAATAGCTTCCAGAGATCTTGCCTCTTGAGCTTTGGGGCAGAGTTATCCCCTGCCTCTCTAATGTGGGTTGGATGCCAGACTCCTAACAAATACAATGTGGCAGCGGGGATAGGGTCTCTTCAAAGGTTAGGTTATAGAGTGCAGGTATCTGCCTTCAGTTTGGACACTCTTTCCTGGATTGCCTGTGGTAGGGGAAATCAACTGCCATTCTTTCGTGAAGCAACCCAATTGGCAGAGAATCTAGGCCAACCAGCAACCATGTGCATGCCCTTGGGAGTAGATCCTTACTCCACCTAGGTGGATCCTTTCAATGACATCACAACTCCCAACTATAGCTTAACTGATACCTCAAGAAACAACCCCAACTATTCTGTCAAATATTGCCCGAATTCTTGACTCAAAGAAACCAAGATGAAACAAGTTTGTTATTTTAGGCTGTATTAAATTTGGGGATAATTGTTAACCAGCAGTGCAGAACTAACAAAGTAACTCAGATGATTGTCCATTAAGGCAAACTTTATGAACATGAACGCTTCTGAATTAAACAATACATTTATTTATTCTTCATTCTGAGACTCTATTTTGCAAACCACTTTCACAAAGGTAATAGGAAGTCTGTCTCTTAGTATCAAACTCCAAACGTTAAACGAGAGGGAAGAGGGCTTAGTGGGCTGTTGCAAATCCACATTCTCAGCCTTTGGAGGCCAGGTTGGAAGGACTGCCAGCTAGTCGGGGCTACACAGAGACTTCTATGCCAGCCTGGAGTATATATGAGACCCTGAGTCTAAGTAAAAGGAACTAGGGAGCACAAACGCTGAAATGACAAGCAAATTGCAGTAATAAAGTTAATGCTTTGTCAAGAGCACAGGGGTCCTTAAAAATAAATGTTTGGCTTGTAAACCATGTAGCCACCACTAATTAGTAAACACAGGACGCAGACTTAAAATACATCGAGCAGGAAGCGCAAATTGATACGGTTTCTGTCTGTCGAGCAATATGCATTAAGTATACACCATGTGGGGAGTGTAGACGAGCCACAGGAAAGCAAAAGACGAGAATTTAACCAATGTTTATACTCAAATCGGCGGCTGTGGCAACTAGCAAGCAGCAGTGACCCTAAACTGTCTATATTTGGATTCATATTCTTGGGATGTTGGGAAAAAAAAGAAAAGCCTAAGCGTGCCTGGGCACCTAATAACACCACAACCACCATAAAAACAACACATAAACCTGAAGGAAGTAACCTTCACCTTTTGCCTGCCTTCTCTGAGGACGACATCGCGTCGCTACTTGCAAGTCCCAAGTTGACCTCTATACCAATGGCCTAGAAACAGAAGAGACCTGGGCCCGCCTCTTGACACCGACGCGCAGCTGTAATAGGCCAGGGCGGCTGTCACTCCACGTGTCTCGGCGTGGCATTGGTCCTACACTATTGCTTACCTCCCCGCCCCCCAGCCCCCGGCGCAGCCGAGTGGCGAGCGCCCCTCGCTTTGGTTTCCGAGCAGAAAAGCGAAAGCGCACAGGCGGGAGAGGCATTGGAGGGATCCGGGACGGAGCTCGTACCTGAGCCACCTGCGATCTCCACCGCCGCCGCGACGACTCGGCCTCCGGGCGGGGGCTGTCAGCCGAAAAGGAAATGGCTCAGCCGGGGACTGATGCCCAAGCCATGGGGAGGCCCGTCCAGCCCGCACGCGTTCGCGCTGGAGAGAGCACGACGGGCTGCGAGAGCACCAGCAACCGCCCGGGGGCCTCCCGTGAGCGCACAGCACCGCAGCCTGCAGGAGCCGGAGTGGCAGACCCTGCAAAGTTTTTGACGTTTCCTATTGTTGCCGGAAGTGACGTCGGGGAGCGGGCCCTTCAAGAACGAGGACTTCGTCTTCGTCGTCTCCGATTCGCCACCAGGCCTTTATTGCTCGCTCCTCCTCCTGAACGGCTGTCGCCGTCGGAAGTTGTGCCGATTTGAAACGCGACATTTGATGTAAGGTCCTACAATTGATAGGGTCCTCGTGGGAATGCATTCCTCCGCGGAAGCCGCGCGAGCGGAGTATGGAATCCGCACCGGGGAATCTCAGGACGTGGGGCAGCCCGTGGCTCGGAACGCGGAGCCCCTCTCCGCGGCGGGCTGGGACCCGCGGCTCCGAATACAAACGGTCGGCGCGAGAGGCGCCCTGGGGCGCGGGCGCCGGGGTCCCGCCACTTGCTCGAGTTGATTTACGCCGCCCTTCTTCTGCCGCGTTGGCGCGGTCGCCTGGGGAACCCTTCACTCCCGCTTGTCGGCTGCCGCCTGCGGACGGGCTGCGCTCCGGCTGGGACCGCGGTCTCCCGGAGGCTGTGCTCGCCCAGGCTCCCCATCGGCGGGCCGGCGGTCAGGTCTGCCTTTCATCCTTGTAATCCCAGGGCGGGGACCCCAGGAGGGACTTGCTTGTGTACCCAGCTGGGAGGTGCTTCGGGAGGCCACCGAGGAGGAAGGGTCGCGGTCCACCTCTTTGGAACTGGTTTGTGACTCAGTACTGCGAGGTTGAAGGCACGCTGGTGTCTCCCTTGTCTTTCCGGTCAAGGGTACGTCCAAACTGGCTGGAAGAGTAAGAGCGCTTCGTCTTTGCTTTTGTCCTCACGAGTTCAAAGAACTCTCCATCTGCTTTGAAGACTACAAATTTTTTTTTCTTCTCTATAAAAGAAAACTAGTCTTAACATATTTATTCTACACTGAGGACTACACTAGACTGTTTTACAGAATGGCTTGCAAGCATTAAAAAAAAAGTTGATACACAAACCCATCGGTGCCATTGATCCATTGCTCCCATTCGTCCTAGCTAACTCCCGTTTTTAATCCCGCGTCAGAGCTTTTCTCTTACAACAGCATTTTCCTAGTATCTACTGAGGGACTTTGTACATTTAATGTCTACAGATCTGTATTCCTCTATCTAAAAGTTTGGCTTTTAGATATATTGAGCTGGATCTCAAAATCCTAGTTATCCACCGTTATTATTAAAGGCTAGTTACTTCATACTGAACAAAATGATTTTTGAGTCCAGTTATGTGTTTAAAGATCTGCAGCAACTATGAGACTGAGCTGTGTTTAAAACGAAGAAACTTAAACTGCGGGACTGGGGATCTAGCTCAGGGGTAGAGCCATTGGGTGGTATTCCAAGTCCCTGGGTTCAATTCCCACTCCCCACCAAACCCATGCTGTGCCATTCTCACAACCTATTTTAGAAATTCAGTTAGCAGATTTGATTTATTCCCATCTCTTCACAAAGCTAGTAGACTATTGGGACCATAATGATTGAATCTGCATTCTTTATTTACTTAATTTATATTATGATACATAATATAAAGTGAAGATGCAAATCACTTTTATTTTTAAGTAACACATTGTTTTCATCTCAGAAATTTGTAGAAATTTGCTCCTTGGCTTTTTGGCTAGGATCAAGTGGAAAGCAGTATCAGTATTTGATCGGCTTAAATTAATAATAATCTTAATTTTGGTGCTTACCAATTTTTAAAATCTGGGACTCCTTCCTTGAAAACATTTTTTCTATGATCTTTTTAAATGTCTTCATGCTTTTCTTTCCTGTCAAATCATTTTTCCCCTTTACCTACAGATCCAAGCTGTACTTGAATCTTACTCTTCAAAATATGTACTCTGCTGGTAGTGAAGAGGATGTGTTCCTGGGGTATACTTTGTTGCCAGAAATATCGCTACCAGAGGTAGACATAATGCAAAGATCAATGTGTTTCTGTGAGAAAAAGTTTTAGATAAAAGCGCATGTCCTGGGAAGATGGGATATGAATGAAAGGAAAGAACTGTGTTAAGTCAGATGGGTCTGCAACATAAAACAAGATCCGACCTGCAATCTTAATCCCAGGAACAAGGTTTTTAGTTACATGAGAGTAGTTCCCACATCACCTTTTCTAGGCAATCAAAGTTGACCTGGGAAGTCTGTCTTAACATTTCTGTATGTCTGTCTAGCCCTGGCATCTGGAAAGATGTGAAATAAGGCTTATAGCCTTGAACAATATTTTGTATAATTTTATTTTAGGATCACTTCCTTTTTTTTTCTCCCTAAAATCCTCATTGCCTAAATGTGTTAATGTTTAATCGATGTAATTTAGTGTTTCAAACATAGTGACCAAAACGCCAGTGCAAGAGTGCGTACAAGAAAGTTCAGCATCTTGTTTTACACCATGTTAATGAAGAGCAAACTGAAATGAGAGTGGTGTTCCTACAGAGGGAAAATAAGGTGCCCAAATCTAGGGAAATGGCTACTGAAAAGGGGAGGTGGCCCAGGCTTAGAAACTTGTAAATTGTTAGGTTTATTTACCTCTCTTTATGTATGTAGATACAGAGGAGGTATCTGAAGGGGTCATCTATTTGTTGGATAGTTGCTAAATGTAGACTGTGAGCAAAATCACATAAAGTATATTTCATCTAATTCTTGATTTTTATTGTTTTTAATGTCAGTGATTTCATTTTAAAGGATCTTCATTCTCAGAGAATTTATTTCTCAAGGTACTTTTATAATTTTCTTGAGCAAGATATTGGTAAACTATGAGTTTGTTTTGTTTTTTAAGACAATCATGTGATTGGCAACTGCATGAAATCCAAGCCCTGGGGATAATAACTAAATCTGTGTTAAATTTGTCCTTATTTTTTATTGGTTATATAGCTTTTATAAACTTTCAGGATAGCCAGGATGGAGACTATTTCAGCTTGATATGTTTTTCTAAATGGTACCACCTATGATTTGGATGTAAAGTATCCTCCATAGGCTCATATGGTTGATCTCCAGTTTGGGGTGCTAATTTGGCAGCTTGTGGAATCTTTGGTAGGACCCTAGCTAGGGAAGTAGCCTGGGGAGTGAAGATGCCTTGAGATGCCTGGTTCCACTGTCCTGTCCTCTCATCTGAATTAATGTAAGCCAGCAGCCACCATACACCCCTGCCTCCTTGGAGCTGCCTGTCACCACGGTTTCCAGATTATGAGGGTCCATAGCCCCTCAAGCAGTGAAGCAAGGAGCCACTTTTCCACCGAGTGTCCTTCTGTCAGGGGTCACAGCATGAAAGTAACTATTTTAGACCATTATCATTCAAAGTAAAGCATTTGGGAGAGTGCTAGATAAAAGCCATTGAATGAATATATATAATAAGGCAAACTCATTTTTTTGTGAGGAAAACATAGCGGGTGGGGTTGACACTGAGTTCACATGTAGACTTTACAGTCGGCGCTGTGTGGTAAATCCCTTAAGCTGCCACCTGCGTGCTACGCTCTGAGAAGCAGAAGCTGTGTGACGTGGATGTGCTGGGGCCGGGGAGAGGCACACAGACTAGAGCAGAGCAGCTTCCCAAAGCGCGCATCCAACAGGCCTCCATCATTTTATTTCTAGATGAGAAGTTCAAGATTATTTAAGAGTCGGAGCTGAATCTGATCCTCAGTAATGGCAACAGGTGACTTAAAAAGAAGCTTGCGGAAACTAGAACAAGTGCTTCGTTTGCTAAATTATCCTAACGATGTGGATTATGTTGGGTAAGCTAGAATACATTTGGTATTTGAAACTTATTTGTGGTTTGTTTTTTGGTTTTGAGTTTTGTTTGTTTGCCAAAAGTTTGAGATAGTGTGTGACACGATGGGGGTCCTAAATGAACATAAAGACTTTGTATGTACACTTCTTTGACTGTTGGGCTAGCAAATTGGTAAAGGAACTGTCTGCCAAGCTTGATAACGTGGACTTGAATTCCCAGGACTCACATAGAAACTAGAGGTGCCGCTCCTCTTCCTCCATACGTGCTCTAGGTGTGTGTGCTAGTGTGCTGAGAATCAACCTCTGTTTCTCTGGAAGAGCCGCACATGCTCTTAACTGCTGAGAATTTTAAAGCATGGGGGCTGCCATGCGATGTCTCACTAATTGGAATCCTCTATACTAAGAGAATACATGGTTTAAATGTATAAAATCTATCTTCTGTATATTGAATACACAAAGAAATAGTAACATCTGTGACCATATTGGCTATATTAAAAATAATACTATTCTGGGGAATGAGAGAATGGCAGGTTAAATAATTAATAGTATCCATTATACTCCAGTGAGTTTACAATTATATGGAGACAGTATCTAGACTGACATATAATCTATATATATATATATATATATATATATATATATGTATGTATATACATATATACGGTTTAATTCTCATAGCTCATATCAGGTGCCTTACATGTATCTGTCTGTGCTATGGGCATGAGCACATATGTGGCACACACACAAATATAAAAAAATCTTTTTAAAACTGCAGTTGAGATGGGGAAGTTTACACACACATTTTGAATTCTGTGGAAAACATGCTGTTTATATGTAAGTGCAGTATAACTTTAGCTAACCAATAGAGCTGGCTAATTGAAGAAATAGTTCATTTGCTGTTTTGCTACATGAATCAGTAAGGCATTTTACACCAGTAAATAAGCAGACAATGAGAAACAAACAGCGTGAGGCAGCAAATGCTGAGAAATCAATATGGATCAGACAGAAGAAGGTGGCTTCATGAAGATCAGCACTTAACTAATAAGTCGTAAAGAAGACAGACAAAGTGTAGCATACGCTCCTAGATATGAGCACGAGCTAAGACGGTACAGTTCTCGTGTGGAAGCAGAAGGGGGCTGTCTAATCACAGCATAGGCCCTTTCCATTGTGTTCCTCATTTGTAATCACAGTCCCTGTGATTAACCTTTGCAGGTTTGTGTAGGAATGTTACAAAATGTTACAAATGTTACACAAACATGAAATAGTCTTAAGAACTGTAGGGTGATACTTTTTTATTAATAGGAGAAATAAATACATCAAGTAAGAATAAACTTTAGAAACTAATAAGAACTGTAGGAGATAGCCTATATAACTGTAGTGAGGTTTTGGACACATGAAAATGAACAGTACTGTTGCATAGACGGATCAGGGTGGTTTAGAGTGAGATATACAATCTGGAGCCATACATTGCTTCGTTATTGTGTCTGTAATAATAAGTAAATTATTGACAACATTGCTAATTGTTCTTAACCACCCAGCTTTCGGGACTGCTAATGAAGTCCTTTTCCTTTTCCCGACAGTTTGATGAAGGGGGACACAGCGGCATCCTTGCCCATCATTAGCTATTCCCTTACCTCCTACTCCCCTTATGTATCAGAGCTTCTGATGGAGTCCAACGTGGAGCTCCTAGCAAAGAACGATGTGCGCTTCACAGATACCGTCTACAAGGTAGTTTGAGTTTACGAAACAATAATTACTTGAGAAACTATTGAAAGGTTTTTAAAGAACGATGTGCGCTTCACAGATACCGTCTACAAGGTAGTTTGAGTTTATGAAACAATAATTACTTGAGAAACTATTGAAAGGTTTTTAAAGAACGGTGTGCGCTTCACAGATACCGTCTACAAGGTAGTTTGAGTTTATGAAACAATAATTACTTGAGAAATTATTGAATGGTTTTTAAAACTAATACTTTAGTAATAATTATCGAAATACAGTTGCATGTTGACTTAACAGTGATGGGCAAATTGATGGGCATTTTTGCCATTGTGTGCTTCCACAGACCTAGATGTTTATATGCATAGCGTATTGGTCCTGGACTACAAACTTGTAACATGTTTCTGTTCTGTATATAGTATGAATTACAGTGCACTATAAATATTTGTGTTTTTAAACATGCAAGCAATATAATATAGTTAAAATACTAGGCAATAGAAGAAAGTTTCATTATGATCTAGGGCCACTATCATGTAGTCATGTATTACTTTACATTTAGTTGACAGTATTTTCATGACTGTTTATCTTATTACAATGTCTCTATTGAAACTAAGTTACAATTACTGTTTGCTTTATTAACATTTTCTGTTAATTATGGCAACTGGTACATGTTTGTCACTGGCTACAATTTGCCTGCTTCCTATGAAATTTTAGCAAAAGTTCATGTACTGGAGGAAGAGAGAGAGCACATAATCCACAGGCTTCTGCATTAACTTGTGAGACACAAGCTGAAACTTCCGTAGTTTGCTCCTTGAGAAAGAAACCAGGACTCTTAGCTGCAGTAGCATCTAGACACCTAAATGGAGACTGACTCTTACCTCAGTTGATTTTGATTTTTTTTTTTGTTTTGTTTTGTTTTTCGAGACAGGGTTTCTCTGTATTGTTTTGGAGGCTGTCCTGGAACTCATTTTGTAGACCAAGCTGGCCTCGAACTCACAGAGATCCACCTGCCTCTGCCTTCTGAGTGCTGGGATTAAAGGTGTGCACCACCAATGCTCGGCTTGATTTTGATTTTTAAAAACTTTTAACATTTACCATTAATTTTGGTCAAGTACTGTGATTTTGTGTGTGTGTGTGTGTGTGTGTGTGAAGATGGAAATAATGCTGTCTGAAAAGGAGGTCTAATATACTTATTAAATATACTTACAAGGTAAACAGGGACAGAAGCTCTGGGAACGTGGCTAGCTTCCAAGAGGGGGGCTTTTGCTTTTCCTTTCCTTTTATATCTCACCTGTTCCATGTACCTGTCCACACCCAAAGTATTGTGGGCTCACTCCTACATGTGTGTGTGTGCGCGTGCGTGTTTTCTTTTTTCTTTTTTCCAGTAAAGGTCTCACTGTATAGCTCTGGCTATCCTGGTACTGTCTCCCTTTCTCCTTCTCCCCCTCTCTCTATTTCTCTTCCTCTTCCCTCCTGCCCCTGCCTGGGGCATATCCCTAGCAACCTGTATCTCATACATGGGCATATCTCAACACCAGTTCTGTAATTTTCATACCTTTACATAATGCCTTACTCTCAAAGATAGCTGCTACCTTCCAAACAGGTGGCTATATAATTTTGAATTAAACGAATACTACCTTTATTTTTTCACAGCTTCTTCGTGATCAATTTGATTATAAACCAATTTTGACAAAAAAGCAATTTATACAGTCTGGATTTGCTGAATGGAAAATCCAAATTGTCTGTGATATATTGAACTATGTGATGAAAAAGCACAAGGAATTGATTGGCTCTGACAAGGTGATTTTATGAATAGATTTCAGTGCTAACATATGCTAAATACCCCAATATTTGAATAAACAGTAAATTATTTAAAAAATGCGATTGTCACTGGACTTGCTGGACCCAGAAGCTAGAGAAAGAGTTCAAGGACAGATGTAGAAGATACTTAAGCATAGTAACAGATTTATCAAAGCAAAAGCAATAGTGCCTTTCTTCAGGGAAGGGATTGGAAAGCTAAACTTGGTAGGTGAAACCCCAGGCGCTTAGGCATGAGAACATTTCAGGCACTGAAGACAATTCTTATGTTAATGCTATAATCATGATTGTGGAATTTTCTGGGAACGTCAAGGGCGTTTCTACCTACTAGGGTTAGTTTGAACCAAACATGGGTGGTTTAGTATCAGGATGCAATTTGAAGGGATGTGAATGTGTAAAACCACAGAGATGCTGAGGAGTCCTCCCTCACACTTTTAGATCTCAGAGTCTCCTCCACAGAGTGTATACATTTCACAGCTAGCTTCCTGAGAGTGCAGGTCACTGCAATACCAGCATGTCCTACGGTCTGTACCTGGATAAGGCCATAAGCACCGGTGTTAGTTCTAAGTCCCATTGTTCATACAGCCCACATATCCAATGCCATAGTTGCTGCATTATCCACATGTAGCATATAATCCTCTCAAGGATCACCATGTCTCTGACATTAGTCACATGCCTAATATATCTGTGACTTGGAACTAAATTAACAGTTCAAAGATAATGTATTTTTGTCACTTTTAAAAGTTTTTGTTCTATTTTCTTGTTTTTAACTATGTAGCCTAGACTGACCTGGAACTTTCTGTGTAACTAAAGCTGGCCTCAGCCCTCCTTCCTCATAGTTCTAAGTATGACATTAGAGCACCACCATACCAGTCCCCTTTAGTTTACAATAAACACATAGGCAAAAGCATGTTTCATCACTTTCAATTTGCTATTATCAAAAGTGAGTATTCAGATAATGGATTTTAAATGTACATCATACTGTCTATAAAATGTATTATTTTGTCTAATTGCTGTCCTCTCCTAGACTTCATCATGCCAAAGAAAGAAGAATGTCTCTGAAAAGCAAGAGCCTTGTTCAAGCAGTGAGAACCCACCTGCAGAGGCCATTGGCATTGACATCACTGGCAGGTTTCTGACTTCAGGGAAGGTGTGAAATAGACGGGAACAGAGGCCTATCTGAAGATTCATTTCTCTGACGGGTGTTTGGTGAAACATTGTAGTCAGATACCACACCATACAAGGCATTTTTACTAGTACATATTAGTTAATCTTATTTCTTTACATAAGTACTTTGATCATATCTACCCCCCACTGCCCTCTCTTATCACCCCCTTCCATTCCCTACCCTCAAATAGTCTCAGCAGAGTGAAAAATGAAAAATCAAACAGACTTTATATTTCTAATTTTGAATTCTTTTTTATTTCCCAGATAAAATTTAGTAAGGTTTTATTATGGATGCACTGATACCTACTTTTACAAATTGTGTGTGTGTGTTTCTTTTAATCTTATGTATATGTATACCAGAAGGGAACAGAAGAGAGTCATGGGTGTGTGTGTGTGTGTGTGTGTGTGTGTGTGTGTGTGTTTCTTTTAATCTTATGTGTTTGCGAATCAAAAGGGAACAGAAGATAGTCTTGGGTGTGTGTATGTGTGTGTGTGTGTGTGTGTGTGTGTGTGTGTTTCTTTTAATCTTACGTGTATGTGTACCAGAAGGGAACAGAAGAGAGTCATGGGTGATTGTAAGCCTCCATGTAGGTGCTAGAAATCAAACCTGTATCTCAAGTGTTAACCTGAGCCATCTTTCTAGCCCCTTAATATATACTCTTAATTACATACTTGGTCATCCATAAAAAGGGATGCATATGTAAAAATAACCCATTAGTAACAAGAGTGGTTACGATGATTCATTTAAATGCATTCTTTATTAGTAGGTATAGATTGTGTCTGCCTTTGTCTGCTTTGAGCATCTGTGGCTAAATGAATCCAGAATTTTTCCATATCCAAGGGGAGCCTTCAGCCAAAATGCCATTTTCATAATAAGTATACTTCCAGCTATTTTCCTTCTGGGAGAGAGGACAGAGTACAGGTGAATAATCATTGTGTAATTGGATAAAGATGCAAATTGTTTCTGGATAAAGTAAAATTCATAGAATGATTTATTCCCTAATCCAAAGGACATGACTAGCAGAGCTTTAGTACCGAGAACTTGAATAACTGCTGCAAAGCTGAGCTGAGTTAGGGCTGAAGCAAATTGTCTTCTTCCTGATGCCTCCTCTCGTAGAGATGCAGTTTATGACTTCTTTATCTCTTATTCGGGTTTTTCAGTGTCTACAGACAATACATAGGCAGAAAGACAGTGGGTAAAGGGTTAGTGAGGTCCTTGTTAGTCCTTCCCCCTTTTTAGTATTTTGGACTTTTGGCTGAGGGTAAATATATGTATTGTGATTCGTTCAATAGAAAAAAATTATAGTGTGTCCTCACACAGCTAGTAGATTATTTAACTTGCAAATTATGTCACAACTTTTATTTGTTTGTTTGTTGACAGAGTCTCATATCGCTCAGGCTGGTCTGGACTGTATAATCCTGCCAGGGCTTACTGAAGAATACTTTTTTTCCTTTGTTTTAACTTTCTTTCTATTCTGTAACATTTCAAACATTTACTAAAGCACAGATCTTCCTGTTTCAACAATTAGTCAAATCTATGCTAATCCTCTTTCATATTTACTTTTCTGAATCATATTGAAACAAACCTAGATATCTTTAAAATATATTTTCGTTTTTATCCTAAGACACAAGAATGCTTTTAAAAAGTTGAGCCACAACTCCATCAACACATATAAAGTACATAAATATTAGCATGTTATGTTGTGGTACATTATATGTGGTAATTTAAATGTTTTTAAACATGTATAGTCCATCTAGACAATTATTGTGAGTATACATAATTGTGCAGTAAAACCATTGAAGTAGTTCTTCCATGCTTGTCTCTATACAGAAGAAAGCTGTGGTCATCCGTCACCTGTACACAGAAGATAGTGTTGATGTTACTGAAGGGACGGTATGTTCAACAGAAGTGAGTGAGGGCTGTGACGACTCAGAAGGGAAGAGTTCTGAAGTGATGATTGCTGATGAACAGACCTCTGAAGTCAAGGCTGAGCTGAAAGTAAGGGCTGAGCACCTCTTTGACAGACTTCTTTGGTATCTGTGATTATTTCAGTGCTTGAATTGCAGTATTTCTGAACTCTTAAATTTTGACATGTGTATTGTTGCTTAAGAGTCAATCAATCTTACCAAAGGTGATTCAGTGGATTCCAGTTGTCAGATCTGTTTGGAGTTTTCCTCCCGAGTTAGAAGTAAAGCAAAGAGAAATAAGAGTTGGTATACACCAGGGAAATTACAATCTAGCACAGGATGTGTGCCACTTTGCATGGTGGAGTTTTCTACCACTGTTTCCTCTGTTTGTAAGTAGAACACCTTGCATTTTATTACCATTTTCTCTTTGGTGAGTCTTCACTGTATGTTTCCCAAGGGGTATGGTCTCACTCTGTAGCCTTGGCTGACTTTATGTAGTCCAGAGTGGCTTTGTATTTGCAATAAACCCCTTGCCTAGCCTTTTGTGTAGTTGCTCCTTGGTGACACAAATACCATTATGTATATAATCTCTACTGTTTCTGCTAAATGCTTATGTCTTGTGATTTTATACATTTTATATTTATGAAAGTTTTTATTTATAGGCCTACTTTTTACTATATGACATTCTAGGTAATCAGCACATAGTCATTTGCTTATTTTGTCTTGGATTTGTAGTAGAGTTTTCTAAGAAACTAGGTAATGACAGTTGAATTGTACTACCTAATCTAAGAGCATCATACAGGTTAATTCATAAGCAACTGCTGTGAAAATGAAGTCATCAAAGCCACATCTGACAGCCTCATGGCAAAGCCCACTGCTGTCTGCCTGGACTGCTAGGGCCACTGCCATCTACAGGGGAACTCCTTGTTCTTTTGCTGTGTTTTTCCTTAGCTACAGAACAGCACAAAGGAAACAGGAGAGCTTGATTCCTTTTCAAAGGAATGGCATTTCATATCATCTAGAGTCTTGTTTGTCATTGTAGGATGGATGTGATAATCCTGAGATTATTGCACTTCAGATTGCTCTTGCTGAATGCCAAGAAAAGCTTAAGAAGCTGGCTTGGGTAGAGAGAAAGCTTGAGTGTCTGGAAGCTACGACAAAAGGGAAAGTGATGGTGGATGAGAAGGACTGGAATAATCTCCTAAGTCGAGTCACTCTTCTTGAAACAGAGATGCTGCTGTCTAAAAAGGTATTAATATGTAAAGCTTGCCTCAAGTATAGTAAATGCTCATCTTAGTGACATCTACACGTGAGGCTCCTTAGAAATAGGAAATGTTTGGCTAGAATGAAGCCTGCTCACGCTTAACAAGTTTTCTTATACTTCTTGTGGCTATTTTTTCCTATCAAATAAGATAATTTGTAAAACCTGTAAGTTGAGCTTTTCTGATTAATAGTACTTGAAATACTTAGAATGAGGTAAGAATGTTTTGAAAAACTTAAATTATTTCATGTATTTTAATAGGACAAAGGGCTTCTTCAGTTTACAGGAAAAGTTGTAAAAGTTAAAATTGAAACTTTTTCTTCTTTACACATTGACTTCGGTCATAAAGTGAATGTCTTAGAAACACTAAATGTTCTGTCTTAGTCACTGTTATACTGCTGTGAAGAGACACCATGACCAAAGCAAGTCTTGTAAAGGAAAGCACTTGGGGGCTTGCTTACAGTTATTAGACTTAGTCCGTTATCATCATGGCAGGAATGGCAGGCACTGGAGCAGTAGCTGGGAGCTACATCCTGAATCATAGGCCACGGAGGTGGAAAGAGAGAAACTGGGCCTGACATAGCTTTTGCAACCTCAGAGCCCACCCACTTTGGCATACTTCCTCCAACATGACTACACCTACGTTACCATGGCCATACCTCCTAATCCTCAAATAGTACCCCTCCATGGGGACCAAATCTATGAGTCTGTGGGGGCCATTCTTATCCAGACCACCACATTTACCATTGCCTATATTATTTCTTAGGGTTTCAGTTTCTAGTCTGTCTTTCATTTTTAGAGACTGGAGTTGTAGATTCATGGTTACTCTCTGCTTCCACACTTAAATGGCTATTTCATGTGCGTAAGAAATAATCATATATTATTGGTAAATAAATGTATTAAAACTAAACATTCTCTGTGCTTTGCTTATATTCTATGTTAAACAGCACAAAATGAGTTACCTTTCATTTTTTCTAAATATTTACCTGTACATTCCAGAATGAATGTAGAGAGCTTAATGCAGCAAGTGAAGACTATGACTCTGTTAGTGGGACGAACGTTCTGCCCTTTGGTGAGTTCTTAAGCTGAAGTAGTACTGTTGGCTTGCAAACATTTTCAGAGCAGTAGCTTTTATGGGCATTTGGCACCTTTACTTTAGCGTGTGTGTGTGTGTGTGTGTGTGTGTGTGTGTGTGTGTGTGTGTGTGTGTGAGTGTGTGAGTGTGTGTGTGTGTGTGTGTGTGTGTGTTAGCCAGAGGTCCATATCAGGCTTTTTTCTCAGTCACTTTCCACGTTATTCTTTGAAATAGTCTCTCACTGAATCAGGAGCTCACTGACCCAGCTTGCTTGCTAGCCATCAAACTTCCAGGATCCTCCTGTATTTAACACCCTATTGGTAGATTGTAGGTACAAACTACTGCATCTGATTTTTTGTTTGTTTGTTTGTTTTTTGTTACATGACTCTGGAAATCAAATTTAGCAAGCAGTTGACTGGAGCCATATTCCCATTTTTTATTAAACATTTTTCTTAATAAAATTACAGATCTCTTAGAACAAAGGAAGTAGTGAACCACAGACTGCTAAGAATTGCTTATAAGACTATAGTCTATGTCATTCAGAGCATAGCTTGCAGACTTTGTGGGGATTTTCACTTTTTAATCATTCTAGAATAACACAGTACTGTCATAAGAAAAGCAGACCTCTAAAAGTTAAAATTTAAAGCCCTAAGTACTAACATTCTTGTGCGTAAATAAGATCTGTGACTGGAGAAAGTACATTTTTCAGAAGTGTGTAAAATGCTTTATCTGAACCTCTTACTGACAGTAATAAACTGAGAATGGTGTAGAACCAAGATGGCCCTTTTCATGTCACAACCTCCAAGAGATATTTTCCATGTTTCTGAGCATAGGGATATCTGGTTTCAACAAAAGCTTTTTTTCTTTGAACATTATAATTTAGAAAAAGTAAAGTCTTACATTTTATCTCATTATGATTAAGTTGTGTTCGTAAAAAAATGACTTCTGCAAATGACAATTCGTCATGAGGTTAAATTGCAGTACTGTAGATATTTAACATCATTAGATCTTTTCAGCTGCTTTATACTTTTCACAATATGCAATTTAGCATTGTTCTCACTGCTCTATTACCTTGTTTAATTCCAAATGTAACCTTGTAAGGTAAATGTTATTATTATCCATATGTAAATGTTCCAAATGAGGAAAATGAGTTTCATTGAAAATTGTTGGTGACTTTGCCAGTGGCCATACAATTACTGTATGGTGGACAAAGTTGAATCCAGACAACTCATTCTGATAGTTTCCCTGAATACTACAAACTTAGTGCAAATACTGATATCCTTGCACAGAAGATAGTTTCAGTCATTAGATTAACTGGGATACTTTATAAATTATTAAATTTTTCATAGGCTGCAGATTTCACATTAGGTAGCATTGACTTTTCTACTTGTCATTCTTAGTTTTAACAAATAATCAAAATTCAACTATCAAATTCTTTTTTTTATTTAAATTAGCAACAAGCTAGCTTCACATGTCAATCCCAGCTACCTCTCCCTCCCCTTCTCCCCTCCTTCTTGGATGAATGTGCATCTTTTGAGTATATGCCTAAGAGTTGGGTCTTGTGGTAGACTGATTTCCATTTTCCTGAGGAATCTCCATACTAAAAAGTGGCTGTACGAGTCAGCACTCCCACCAGCAGTGGAGGAGTGTTCCCCTTTCTCCACGTCCTCTCCATCATAAACTGTCATTGGAGTTTTTGATTTTAGCCATTCTGACAGGAGTAAGATGGTATCTCAGAGTAGTTTTGATATGCATTTCCCGGATGGCTAGGGATGTTGAGTACTTTCTTAAATGTCTCTCTCCTCTACTGAGAATTCTCCATTTAGCTCTCTATTTGGATCCTTTGGTGTTTTGGAGACTTGCTTCTTGAGTTCTTTGTAAATTTTGGAGATCAGCTCTCTGTCAGACGTGGGGTTAATGAAGATCTTTTCCCATTCTGTGGGCTGCCTTTTTGTCTTGCTGACTGTGTCCTTTGCCTTACAGAACCTTCTCAGTTTCAGGAGGTCCCATTTATTAATTGTCGATCTCAGTGTCTGTGCTACTGATGTTCTGTTCAAAAAGCTGTCTCCTGTACCAATTCATTCAAGGGTACCACCCACTTTCTCTTCTAAGAGGTTCAGTGTGACTGGATTTATGTTGAGGTTCTTGATCCTTTTGGATTTAAGTTTTGTGCATGGCGATAGACATGGATCTATCTACAATCTTCTACATGTCAGTATCCAGTTATGCCAGCACCATTTGTTGAAGATACTTTCTTTTTTCCCATTGTAAAATTTTAGCTTCTTTATCAAAAATCAAGTGTTTGTAGGTGTGTGGGTTAATATCAGGGTTTTCAATTTGATTCCATTGGTCTACCTGTCTATTTTTGTGCCAATACCAAGCTGTTTTCAGGACTATAGCTCTATGATAGAGCTTGAAGTCAGGGATGGTGATGTGTCTGGAAGTTCCTTTATTATACAGGGTGTTTTGGCTATCCTGGGTCTTTTGTTTTTCCATATAAAGTTGATTATTGTTCTTTCAAGGTCTGTGAAGAATTGTGCCGGTATTTTGATGGGGATTGCACTGAATCTGTAGACTGCTTTTGGCAAGACTGCCATTTTTTACCTCGTTGATCCTGCTTATCCAAGAGCATGGGAGATCTTTCCATTTTCTGGTATCTTCTTTAATTTCTTGCTTTAAAGACTCAAAGTTCTTGCTATACAAGTCTTTCACTTGTTTGATTAGCATTATCCCCAGATATTTAACGTTGTTTGGGGCTATAGTAAAGGGTGATGTTCTCTGATTTCTTTCTCAGCCCATGTATTGTCTGCATATAGTAGGGCTACTGAATTTTTTGAGTTTATCTTGTATCCTGCCACTTTTCCGAAGGTGTTTATCAGTTGTAGGAGTTCCCTTGTAGAGTTTTTCAGGTCACTTATGTAAACTATCATATCATCTGCAAATAGTGCAAGTTTGATTTCTTCCTTTCCAATTTGTATCCCCTTGATCTCCTTTTCTTGTCTCATTGCTGTATCTAGAACTTCAAGTACAATATTGAAGAGATATGGAGAGAGTGGACAGCCTTGTCTTGTTCCTGATTTTAGAGGAATTGCTTTGAGTTTCTTTCCATTTAGTTTGATGTTAGCTGTTGGTTTAACTGTATATTGCTTTTATTATGTTCAGGTATGTTCTTGTTATCTCTGATCTCTCCAGGACCTTTATCATGAAGGGGTGTTGGATTTTGTCAAAGGATTTTTTCAGCATCGAGTGACATGATCATGTCTTTTTTTTCTTTGCAGTTTGTTTATATAGTGAATTACATTGACAGATTTTCATATGTTGGACCATCCCTGCATCCCTGGGATGAAGCCTACTTGATCATGGTGGATGATTTTTCTGATGTGTTCTTGGATTCGATTAGCTAATCTTTTATTGAGTATGTTTGCATCGATGTTCAAAAGGGAAATTGGTCTGTAGTTCTCTTTCTTAGTTGTGTCTTTGTGTGGCTTGGGTACCAAGGTAATTGTAGCCTGGTAAAAAGAGTTTGGCAACAAACTTCCTGCTTCTATTGTGTGGAACACTTTGAGGAGTATTGGAATTAGCTCTTCTTTGAATTTTTGGTAGAATTCTGCACTGAAGCCATGTGGGCCTGGGCTTTATTTGGTTGGGAGACTTTTGATGACTGCTTCTATTTCTTTAGGGGTTATAGGTATGTTTAGATTGCTTATCTGTTCTTGATTTAATTTTGGCAAGTGATATCTATCCAGAAAATTGCCCATTTCCTTTAAATTTTCGAATTTAAAGGTTTTCAAAGTATGACCTGATGATTCTCTGGATTTCTTCAGTGTCTGTTGTTATGTCCCACTTTTAATTTCTGACTTTGGGCCGGGCGGTGGTGGCGCACGCCTTTAATCCCGGGAGGCAGAGGCAGGCGGATCTCTGTGAGTTCGAGGCCAGGCTGGACCGACAGCCTCCAAAACAATACAGAGAAACCCTGTCTCAAAAAACCAAAAAAAAAAATAAAAAAATAAAAATAATTTCTGACTTTGGTAATTAGCATGCACTCTCTCTGCCTTTTGGTTAGTTTGGATAAAGGTTTGTCTATCTTGATGATTTTCTCAAAGAATCAACTCTTTGTTTCATTGATTCTTTGCAATGTTTTCCTGGTTTGTTGATTTCAGTCCTCAATTTGATTATTTCCTGGCATCTACTCCTCATGAATGAGTTTACTTTTTTTTTTCCTTCTAGAGCTTTCAGTTAATTTTCTAGTGTAACTATTCTCCAGTTTCTTCATGTGGGCACTTAGTGCTTTGAACTTTCCTCTCAGCACTGCTTTCAAAGTGTCCCATAAGTTTGAATATGTTGTGTCTTCATTCTCATTGAATTCAAGGAAGTCTTTAATTTCTTTTTTTTTAATTTCTTCCTTGACCCAGGGATGGGGCGATTGCTCATTGTTCAATTTCCATGTAGGGTTTCTGCGATTTGTGTTGTTGTTGAATTCTAATTTTAAAGTGTGGTGGAGTGATAAGATACAGGGACTTATTCCGATCGTTTTGTATCTGTGGAGGTTTGCTATGTTTCCAATTATGTGGTCGGCTTTAGAGAAGGTTCCATGTGGAGCTGAGAAGTAAGTATATTCTTTTGTATTTAGATGGAATGTTCTATAGATGTCTGTTAATCCCAATTGGGTCATAACTTCTGTTAGTTCTTTTGTTTCTTTGTTAAGTTTCTGTCTGGAGATCCTGTATAGTGGTAAGAGTGGAGTGTTGAAGTTTCCTACTACTAGTGTGAGAGATTTTATGTGTGATTTGAGCTTTAGTAATGTTTCTTTTAGTAATATGGGTGCCTTTGTATTTGGGGCATAGATGTTCAGAACTGAGAATTTATCTCGGTGGACTTTTCCTGTGATGAATATGAAATGTCCTTCTTCATCTCTTTTGATTGATTTTAGTTTGAAGTCTAATTTGTTAGATATTAGGATTGCTACACCAGCTTGTTTCTTGGGTCCATTTGATTGGAAACTCTTTTCTCAACCCTTAATCTGAGGGAACGTCTTTCTTTGACATTGAGATGTGTTTCTTGTATGCAGCAGAAGGATGGGTTCAGTCTTCGTATCCATTCTGTTATCCTGTGTCTTATTATAGGCAAGTTGAGACCATTGATATTGAGGGATATTAATGACCATTGATTGTTGATTCTCGTTTATTTTGGATTTATTGGTGGCGGTGTTATTGTGTGTGAATTCCCCCACACACACCTTTTTTCTTTTTGTGTTTGGTAAAGTGCGATTATCTATTGCCTATGTTTTTGTAAATGTAGTTACCTTTGTTGAGTTGAAGTTTTCCTTCCAGTACTTGCTGTAGAGCTGGATTTGTGGATATGTATTGTTTAAATCTGGTTTTGTCATGGAATATCTTGTTTTCTCCATCTATGGTAACTGAAAGCTTTGCTGGGTATAGTAGTCTGGGTTGGCATCCTTGTTTCCTTAGCACTTGTAGGACATCTATCCAGGACCTTCTGGCTTTCATAGTTTCCATTGAGAAGTCAGGTGTAATTCGGATAGATTTGCCTTTATATGTTACTTGGCCTTTTTCTTTAGCTGCTCTTAATATTTTCAAGGCTTGGACTGTTTGAGTTGTTTCCTTCACTTGTTTGTTTGTTTTTTCTTGACTCCCTTTAGATTCTTTAAGAGAATTTATTTCTTGAATTTTTTTTGGTTTCTTCTATTTCTTTAAGGGATTTTCTCATTTCCCCTTTGAGGGTCTCTATCATCTTTATAAAATAATTTTTAAGGTCTGTCTCTTCTGCCTCACCTGTGTTGTACTTTTCAGGTCTTGCTGATGTGGAGTCTCTAGATTCTGGTGGAGTCATTTTGGTCTTTCTGTTGCTGAGTGTGTTCTTATACTGTAGTCTTGCCATCCCTTCCTCGCATGGGTGCAGGTGGGGTCTCTCTGTTTCCACTGGTCTCCATGAGGCTGAGGCTGGCTGGGCTCCTGCTTGTTTGTATGCTCTTAGGAACAGAAGTAATGTAATGATTGATGACAAGAAGGAAAGGAACTGAAATTTCCAGCGGAAGAGAAGTGGGCAGTGAGTGAGCTCCATGTCGTTTCAGTTTAGTGGCTGTACACTGTCCTGTTTAGTTGCCTCAGACATGACAGTGGTTTTACTTGTCTATGTGTCATGACTTCACATGAGTTTGTTGTCTATTGAATACTATTTATTAGTGGATCAAGTAACTTCAGTGTTAATTGCCAGACAGGCTACTGACTGTCAAGGTTGGTTTTGGTTTTCCTTGCTTTACTTTGTTGTGTATATTTATCCTCAGAAGAGAGAAATCTGATTAGTCCAAGTGGTGTAGTACCCCAAAGAGTGCATTTTCTTCCCGTGTGACTACAAGAAGGGTGTGCATGTGCACATGTGGGGATTGGAAGCAGGGCATGGAAAGAGCAGGTCATGGAGTTTACCCTGGAGTCCTAGAAAGATTGTAGCAGATATTTTCAGATTTGTATTTCAGAAAGATTCTCATAAAAGCCGAATAGTGATTGACTGGAAGAAAAGAAAACAGATGGAACAGCAGTGGCCAAGTGATTGTTTTTCCAGAACAGTTATGAGGGATTTTACTTGGACATTAGTCCTGAGAATAAGGAGCACATAATCTTCCGGGGATGTGGGCAGTTGGATCAGTAATGAACTGTGGTTATTAATAAAATAGAAGCATTGAAGGAGAGAGGAAAGGATAAGGCCAACCTTACAGTGGTTCCAGGTAGTTGTTATTCTTTAATAGGAGGGAGAATGCAAGGGGAGAAGAAAATTTATTAAAATAATAATAATAATAATAATTGAATATAACTTCCTATGTATGAAATACTTAAGAAGGATCACCACAACTTAGGCCTTGATTTGTAAGCCCTGGCTTGCAAACTTTTAAAGACCACAGAGGCCTCTGGAGTTCCTGGTGGCATGTCTCTCTGAAAGTCTCCTAGCTTGCCTAATGCTAACTTGCTTTCACATGAAGCAGCTATGTGCCTCAAAACTCAAGCCCCAAGATTCAGGGTGAAGAGACTCGTTCCTTCATCTATCTTCCCAGCCCTGTGCGCTTGTCCCCTTTCTCCTTTTAGAACAGCATAAAAAGTTTTCAGAACCTTCAGAGAGCATCTCAAACAGAAGAAAATAATATAATATTTAGTGACACAGAAGTTCTATTTTCTGCTGAGTTTTGAATTATTCCTTAACGTTGACAATTTCCCACAGCTCCTGCTAAAAGCACTTGTGTCCAGATAGTCTTCAGAGCTGTAGCATGTGACCTTGTTAGTCTCAGCTAACTAGATCACAAGTAGACATCTAACCCAGTAAATACCAGTCCCAAGGGTGTCAAGTAGAATTCCACTTGTATCTTAGAATTTTGCATTGGAACACTAAAATAAGTTAATTAGATCATGTTAAGCTTGGATTAGGCTGCTTAAGTTTATTTAGTTTATTCAGGTGAATAAGCTGAGGAAACCATTCTGTGGAGAAAAGCCGCCGCCAGAGCAGATGACAAGTTAGTCAAGGAAGATCAGGATCTATCAGTTAAAAGGCATTTTCTTAATCCTTGGGTATTAATACTTTGCCATCAGCAAAGACAGACAACAAATGCTTGCGCTGAAAGCCATTTTAAGTGGATGTCAATTTCTTTTTAGCTTTGTTTTTGTAGCCAAATTTATTCTTAATAGGGCATGATGTGTAGGATTGATTTGGTGGAAGTATGTCATGTCTGTGCTGTTAAATAACTGATGGAGTTAATGAGAAAATGTGCCATTTTGTCACACTGATAGCTGGATATCTGACATAAGGGTTTTTATTATTTAAAAAAAGAAACTAGATTTTGTTTTTCTAATTTTTTTCATATGTGTTAACTCAAGATGGGATCCTCTTGACTTTAAAAGGATTAGTACTTACTGCCATGAGCCACAAAGCGGTGGTAAAGCAGTTGTGAGGTGGTCATGACAAGCCCTCTAGTATTCACTAGTTATCATAGATGTCTTCATTTAAGACAGGAACACACACTTCAGGAGCTTACAGGGTTTTTTTTAAGATTTATTTATTCATTTTTTAAAATATGTATATGAGTGCTCTGTCTTCATGCACACCAGAAGAGGCAATCAGATCCCACTACAGATGGTTTTGAGCCACCTTGTAGTTGCTGGGAATTGAACTCAAGACCTCTGGAAGAACCATCAAGTGCTCTTGACTGCTGAGCCAACTCTCTAGCTCCAAGTAGTTTATAGTTTAAATTACTAACATTCCTATTTATTCAAAATGATTTCTATCATGATAAAGGTAAAATGCTTTTGGAGGTTTTGTTGGTTTGTTTTTCTTTTAGTTTTGAGACAGGATTTTGCTAAATTGCCTAGGTCAGCCATGAACCCGTGATACTTTGCAGCTTCCCAAGTACATGTGATTACAAGCATGCACCACAGAACCCAAATGTGTTTTGAAACTTTTATTAGAGAATTTTTAGTATCTGTCTCCATCTGTTTAAAAAGTATTAAAAACTCATTTTATCTATACCAATAACCATTTCATGAATGTATCTGTAAATAAAATTGTAACTGTCTGACTCTACTGTGTAATAGAAAGATATCCTAAAATGTAATTCCTTCACAGATAAAAAATACAGTGTGGGGGCACCAACCAGTACATACCGCTCGTCTGGCTATAGTACAGTATCACCGGACTCAACACCCAGGGGTTCCACTGTTCATTACTGTGGCTTGAAAGATTTTTCACAGGTAAGAGAAGCTGCCAACTGTTTAGATGATCCCTAAGGTAGAGAAGAAACAAGTGTCATTTTTACTATATGCTGTTAATATATACTATTGGCAAGAAATACGGTGAAATTTTAAGTTTCCTCTCTGCAGCTTCTGTGAGTTGACTAGAGTCTCTCTGTGCAATGTTTCAGAGTGTTTTCTATATTCATGGTCCATCTTTGAGGGTTGTTTACTTTGAGAAATCGCCTAAATTTGTTGTTTTTTAAATTAAAGGAAACAACAATCCAGAAAATGGAAAGGATGAAAAAAATGTAAGTAACAGAAAGGGGCAACAGAAATCTTTTCTCTGTAGGGAATTGTACTGGAGTGTAGTATACATGGAATGTACATATGTATTTCAGACCATGAAAGTCTCAGTCAGGTGTGGAATTTCCTTCAAGACTCAAGTGGGTAATAAATCTCCTTCCAGTAGTGTGTGTGAGATGAGTCACTGTTTTGGTTTGCAGCAAATGGTGTAAATCACTGTTTGCAGAATTAATCATGGGTTACAAAGGGCAGAAATGCTTTGATTGATAGTTAATTCAGATTTCTCTATTTCTGGTAATTGATTTACCAAAACATTATGCGCATGTGGATGGGTAGTTGGGAGACATTCTCAGTATTATGTCAAGCTTGCCAGTGTTTCCAGTGAGCTATTGATGCAATAGCACCAACAATGATGCTTTTACTGGGGACAAATAACATTACATCTAGTTTTAGAAAAGAGTGGTTTAAAGGAAATAAATGATGAAATGGTATCAGAATATTATACACCCTACTACTGTAAAAAAGTACAAAGTTCTTTGACATTTGAAAAATTCTAGAATAACTCATGCTACAAGAATTGACCTATTTATGTTTGTTGTCTTCTGTTTACATGTATTAATAGTAATTCTATTAAAATAAGAAAAACAGTCAAGTTCATCTTAGGCTCAGAAGTATGTGTCTGACAGCCTCAGTCCTGATATTCACTGTGAGCTATGTGCTTCGCTGATGTGTCATTTGTTTTATTTCAGGTTTGAAGAGACTGCAGAGCTACTGAAATGCTCGAGTCACTAACTGTAGTTTTTTTTAACACCTCTAGGACTTTGGCTACTTACATGTGCTATATTTAAGAACTCCTTGTATAATTTTAATGTATGTAATATTTTATTAAGAATTTAAATTCCATTTGGTATGTGAGTTTTTTCATTCCTAAATAAATACTTTTAATATTGTAGGCTGTAATTGTACTAATATTCTCTTTCAAATTTCTTGGTAAAACTTTGTTTCAGTATATTGCTGTTACAGAGTGCAGACATTACACCATTTCTGTATTTTTGCGTTGACATTTACTGGCAGAGCACTAAGTAATATGCTTTTGAAAGTATGGGCTAGGGGACCATGGTCTACATCCTACTGGAGACATTCCAACTAGGGCTTGCATATTGTACCCAGGAGGCTCTCATATGCACAGTCCTGCATCTGTGCTGGTGAATAGTTATAATTCATAGTTAAAATGTTCACAGAGAACCAAGCAAATGATGCAGTGTCTTCTTCATTAACATGGCAACACTGAGAGCCTGGTTCTCTAGTGTGTTCCCTGTGGGAAGTGTGCTGAGTGAGTACATGAGTTTTTTATTAACATGGGAACACTAAGAGCCTGGTTCTCTAGTGTGTTCCCTGAGGGAAGTGTGCTGAGTTCATGAGTTCTTTATTAACACGGGAACGCTGAGAGCCTGGTTCTCTAGTGTGTTCCCTGGGGGAAATGTGCTGAGTTCATGAGTTCTTTACTAACACGGGAACACTGAGATCCTGGTTCTCTAGTGTGTTCCCTGGGGGAAATGTGCTGAGTTCATGAGTTCTTTACTAACACGGGAACGCTGAGAGCCTGGTTCTCTAGTGTGTTCCCTGGGGGAAATGTGCTGAGTTCATGAGTTCTTTACTAACACGGGAACACTGAGATCCTGGTTCTCTAGTGTGTTCCCTGGGGGAAATGTGCTGAGTTCATGAGTTCTTTACTAACACGGGAACACTGAGATCCTGGTTCGCTAGTGTGTTCCCTGGGAGACGTGTGCTGAGTACGTAAGACCATCAGCATAGACATAGACTGCTGCCATCCATGCAATACGTGGTGAAGGAGGTTTTCACTTTGTAATAATGGAGAGAGAAAGTCTTAAGGGTGATTTGAAATTAAGATCATGTAGAAAGTTACTATGTAAATATCGTTCTAACTTTGTAAATGAAAATGTGATTATAATTGTGGGTGATAGAATCATGGAAAGCTATCTTTCTCTTCTATATTTTATGCTAGTCACCTCATACTACACAATTTGACTTTACTGTTGAGTAAACTATTAGTTTGTTAGAAATAGAAATAGCGAGCAAGCAGCTTTTAGTAGTCTAATAAATGTTTAGTTTACAGTTTAAAACTATAATATTTTATATTATATTATCATATAGAAGCATATAACCTTGAATTTAGTAGCATTTCAAAAGAATTTCCAGAATTAATGAATCATCTTAGCTTTACGTTTTTTCAATTGCAAGTACACTTAGAAAAATCAAGGGAACACAGTTTTGTAAATGATATTGCACACCCCAATATGAGCAGCAGCATGGACTCACAGCACCACCTTGTGCTTATCACACCCCGATACTTTTAGTAAAACTCATAAAGTCAGTCCTAATTTTTCTTTTTTTGTTGTTTGGTTTGGTTTGGTTTAGTTGGTTGGCCTCAAACTCACAGGTATCAACTGCTTCTCAAATTCTGGGATTACAGGAGTGCACCACCATGCCTGGCTATGGGGGATATTTCTAATGTAATTTATGTATTAAATAATAGATATTGAAAATTAAAATTTTATCATAGATACTAGAAATCTGGATATAAATTTTCTTAGGCTTTTTTCTAATAACTTCAATAAAAATGAACTTATAGTACTGTTGTATACTTACATATACCAAGAGATTTATTTTGAAAACAACTTCTAGAAAAAGTATGACTCATTGAAGATATTGCCAAATGTTCTCATATAGAAAATGCTTTCTCAGGCTAGAGAGATGGCTCAGCAATTAAGATCACTGACTGCTTTTCCAGAGTACCTGGATTCAATTGCCAGCACCCACATGGCAGGTCACAACTGTCTGTAACTCCAGTTGCAGGGAATCTGACATCATTTTATAGACATACATGCAGGTAAAATACCAATGCACATAAAATAAAAAATAAGCAAATCATTAGAAAGATGCTTTCTCTCAGGGCATTTGATAGTGGTTTTTAATAATAACACACCCCCTTTGGTTAAGCTGAAGGTTTTGAGGAAGGTGTAATTTTATCATGGACCCTCAGCTCATTTTCAGAGTCTATCCCTTAAAATTATTGTGTTGCCAATGAAAGTTTCAGTAGCTTGTTCTGCGCTGTAAGCAGTTGTGCATTTGTTCTTAAGCTGAGAACCCAGGAAACAGCTGTGTGGGTCTAGGTGAGAGCAGGCAGCAATACTGCAAGGAATGTGGAAGGTACTAGTCAGGGGTGGAGAGTAACCATGACTACAGAATGCTCTTGGCAAAGGCAAGGACTGATGCCTGAGGAAGGCAGCTCTGTCCTGGTGTTTTAATGGGAAGCTGTAACAGGGAATACATTCCTTATAAACCTTAAAGGCTCTTTTATGCTGTTCTGTACACAGTGCTTTCTGTAATTGATCAGCACCTGGGGAGTCATTAAAGACTAAAAGGACCTTGTCAGTTTTACACACGGCAACACTTCTTCTAGCTCAAGCAACAGTACAGCTTTAATTTCTCCATTTTAATGACCCCTGGTCATCTTTCATTTTCTCTGAGGCTTAATGCAGACTGAGTACGATGGAGGGGGTAGTATGAAACTTTAAACTACAAAACTAGAGCTTAATTGTTGTGTTACTTGAGCTTTTCTCCTGAAAATTACAGGTTTCTTGTTAGCAGCAGATGGCTAGAAACCATTTAGAACCTACTGCAGCAGCCAAGTTGACAGCATTCAAATTGGTTTTTATTGGGAACATTTGGAAGTATATAATTTTGTCATGATCTTTAGGAATACTTATAGGAACGATTGCTACACATATCTTTTCTTCCCTAAACCACTAAAGTGAAACTTATCTTTCTTTTTTTTTTTTTTTTTTTTTTTTTGTAGCGCTTGGGTTTGAAGCCAGCTCCTCACACATTAGATAAGTGTTTATTGATAAGCTGTTATCCAAGCTCTCTTATTTGCATTGTTAAAATAAGGTCCTGGTAAGATAGTAAGGCCGGCTTTGAACTTGTGATTCTCTTACTTTATGATCCCTAGTAGCTAGAATCCATAACTCCAGCTTCAGGGGATCTCATACTTTGTTTTGGGTATATACCTATGTACCTACACACACACACACACACACACACACACACACACATCAAAAAAAAAAAAAGAGAAAGGAAGAAAGAAGAAAAGGCAAAAAAGGAAACCTCTGGGAGAGAACTGGTGATGAGAAGGCTAAATATTCTGTCATCTCAGTAGTTGAGTTCAGTATGTAATGCAGCTGCTGTACAACCAACTTACTAAGTCATTGATTAATTTAGTGACGAAACCTGGAGGCCCTGAATAATCCCATTCCTTTTCTCATAAGCACCTTAACCTCCCAACTCTTAACTGAGTTTACCAGGACAGTTTATCACAGAAGAGTGCTGCTTTCTCCATCCCCAGTCAACATCAGCTGTTCCTGCTGTCTTTGAAACTGTCTTTCTCTGCTACGAACCAAGTCCATGGCCTAACACATACTGAGAATTCACTGGGCACTGACCTCCGACCAGTCTGTCAAAGTTTTGACTTACCACTGCTAGCATATTTGTAAAAAAAAAAAACAAACTGGTTTAAAGTAATCTGGAGTAATTATTGATCATTATTAAAGCTATCAGTTTAAACTGCAGTGAAGTCAGTAAAACCAGTGTCTAGTCACCTCTGATACCCTCTAAAAATGTCAAAGGTAAGAGCC